CCCGCTGCTGCGCACGTCGGAGCGCTGCTCCGTCTGGAAACGGGCCGAGCCGAGGCGTGCGGGCGGCTCCGAGCCGCGCCGAGCTGGTGGGGAACCCTCAGGGAGGCAGGCTCCGGTTTTCGGCGTGTTTTTAACTAGATAACTAGTAGTCTACCCAGTTAGTTGGTTAGTGAGATGTTTCCCACTGGTGGTTTTGGATGTGGTGTATCTGGTTTTCTTGGTGTTAAGCGGCTCTAATTAAGTGCTTTTCTAAAAATACCTCCTTTTTTTTTTTTTTTTTTAACGGCGCAGTGCCTGATTTTGCCTAAAGCGGCTCCGCAAATGATTGTGTGTCTGGGTCATTTTACATCTAAACGAGGATTCAGTAATTTTCGCCAAGAAACCAGATTGCGTCCAGTTCTGTGTGGGACTTCATTGCCTTAGTTATCCCCGCTGAAGTAGCAGCTCTTCGGTAATGTAAATGAGCGCTGTTTTAAACCTTGTGATCCTTTTCTTGAAAACTTCACAAAAGAGGGGTCCTGGGCGTGCAGTGGCCGCTACAAAGAGCTCGAGCTCTGTGGCAGTGGGGCTGCACGTTCTCTTCCGTGCGCACCGTCGTCTGCAGACGAACTAACCCGAGGGCATTAAGACTCCGGGTGCAACCAAAGCCATCGCACCCATCGACCCTTTTTGCAGCTGATGTGCACTGAGAGCTTCATCATCCCCCGGGGAATTAATATCCCACTGATGTAAAATTCCTGAACAGTCCAGGATTAAATCCTTCCCCACTTTTATTCAGTTATTCAGTGCAGGAATACTAAATGGCCTTTGAAGCCCCTGGGAGCTTTCATTCACTTAAATAATTTCTCCTTGGCGGTAGGATGGCAGTCCAGAGATGGCCCGGCCCAAGATTCCTGCTCTTTCTCAGCGCAGCCTGAACCAGGGAGTAATAAAACTTTGCTGCTTGCTTTGGGGGAGGGGGAACGACATGGGGTGTTGCCCGCACCAGTGTCTCGTTCCGCATGGGCTCTTCTGCTGCTGCCCAGCAGCTTCTGTCACATGGTTAATGCCTCCTGCTAGCAGGTTCTGGCGGTGGCCCTCCTGCCTGGTGTTTGAAAGTGGCTTTGAAAGCCTCGCTGGCTGAACTTATGTGTAGGAGTGCACATTGAAAGTCTGTCTTTCCCCCTCTTGATATATTTCTGCAGTAAGCCCCTTGGCGCTGGTGGAATTTTACAGGTCAAGGTTATTGTCTTGTGAAGTCAAAGTTAGCTGCGGTGCTTTCAAGTGTACCCTTTCTGTTTGGGATGTTCCTACTGCAAGACCTGTTGTTAATTTCTGTAATGGTATTATGCATTTGTGTTGGAAAAATGTTGCTGTTGAACATGGAAATGGGGGAGGGTTGCCTCCAAGTTACCCAGAAGAATTTCCAGTGCAAAAATCCCATTATCCCAGTCTGTAATCTGGGACAGATCTCCAAGGGTCAGATACAGATGTAAATCAGTCACCTGGCAAGTTGCAGAGTAGGTAGTTCTAAGACCCCTAGTGTCGTATATACTGCCTAGACACCACAACTTGGCATGGGTGGGCAGCTTTGCAAAACTGATTTGCCAGTTCACAGGAGGCAGAAGAGGTCCTCTGTGTCATCAGTAAGCAACGAATAGGGTTTGTTTGCACCCGTATCCAGACTGTATAGTGCCTGTGGGCTAGGCCATTGCAGGTTCTGGCGGTGGCCCTCCTGCCTGGTGTTTGAAAGTGGCTTTGAAAGCCTCGCTGGCTGAACTTATGTGTAGGAGTGCACATTGAAAGTCTGTCTTTCCCCCTCTTGATATATTTCTGCAGTAAGCCCCTTGGCGCTGGTGGAATTTTACAGGTCAAGGTTATTGTCTTGTGAAGTCAAAGTTAGCTGCGGTGCTTTCAAGTGTACCCTTTCTGTTTGGGATGTTCCTACTGCAAGACCTGTTGTTAATTTCTGTAATGGTATTATGCATTTGTGTTGGAAAAATGTTGCTGTTGAACATGGAAATGGGGGAGGGTTGCCTCCAAGTTACCCAGAAGAATTTCCAGTGCAAAAATCCCATTATCCCAGTCTGTAATCTGGGACAGATCTCCAAGGGTCAGATACAGATGTAAATCAGTCACCTGGCAAGTTGCAGAGTAGGTAGTTCTAAGACCCCTAGTGTCGTATATACTGCCTAGACACCACAACTTGGCATGGGTGGGCAGCTTTGCAAAACTGATTTGCCAGTTCACAGGAGGCAGAAGAGGTCCTCTGTGTCATCAGTAAGCAACGAATAGGGTTTGTTTGCACCCGTATCCAGACTGTATAGTGCCTGTGGGCTAGGCCATTGCTGGTTGAGCTTCATAAAATCGTCAAGTGTTGGGAAAGATGGGGAGTTCCTGCTGCTCCAGGCCTGGACAGCTACCTGCAATTTCTGTGATGCTAGCTGAGATGCTTGCAGGATGGTTCCCCACATTTGCTATACTTCTTCCAAGATGGTTGTCTCTGTACGGTATACTGTGTGCTGAAATTCCCTTGCGAGGTACTCCCTTGAGGGAAATTCCCTCAAGCCCAGATATCTAGCAAAGAGCTACTGAGTGATCCCAGCAGGCTTGGACTTAGCAACAGATGCAGGCATAAGTCCTCATGAAGAGCTGCTTTATATTGCTGAAGAGACACAGCAGAGCCCTGCAAGCAGATCAATTTCTTATCTCCTGCAGCTGTGCATGAGCTGAGAGGGGGGTAGTGACTACACGTTTCGCAGTATGCTTTGCCCAAGAGCAAGGTGAGTGAGTGCAGTCAGCCTTAAAACGTCTTCATGTGTCCTTGTTGGAGGAAGGCATCTATGGCATTTCATAGGTTTGTTCCTATGTGTTAGGGCAAAAAAAGGGGTTGATGGTAAATAGCTTTATAAGCTCCTTTATATTGTCCTCTATGCACTGGCTGGATCATGAAATCAACATCATAGAGAATACCCAGAGGGAAAAAAAGAATTGAGTTTGAGTCTTGTGTTGTTGCCTTTATAAATTGTGCTTAAGCCAGAGAATATGACCAATGTCTGTCTTCTTGTCCACAGGTTGCGCTGAGAAGGCAGCAAGCTCAGGAAGAGGAACTGGGAATCAGCCACCCAGTGCCCTTGCCCAGTGCCCCCGAGGCATTCATCAAGAAGAACAGTGGTGGCAGCTCTTGTCTCTTGTTGGAAAGCAGCAGCCCTACACACTCAACGAGTACCTCTACGACAGCAGCTAGCATACCGTCAGGTAAGGTGCTGGGAGAGCCATGCTCACTGCTTCGAGCAAAGGCTGGCTTTGCTTCTGCCTGCCTGCTGCTGCACCTCCTCCCCTGCCTGCTGCCACAGAGTTGTGGAGAACCCCCTCTCCAGGGACAGTGTTGCCCTTCTGGTATGGTTAGCAAGAGGGAAGAACCCAGGATCAGTCTTGCATATTTTAATTATTTTTATTTGAAAATCAGAATTAAGTTGGTATAGACTGGTGGTGTAATTGAATTCAGTAGAGTGTATGACTGCAAGTGGAGATGTTTCTCCCCAAGTATGTGCAGCTGCCACATGGCAACTGCATGTTGGATGGCTGTGCATCTTTGTCAAAATTTGAGAGTTTTAAGCAGAAGAGAAGCCAAGTAATTTAGGTAATGCCATTGACCCCAGCAGCAGAGGGCTGTCCCATCTTACTTGATTTGACGTTATGTTGTATCTATTCCACGTGGCCAGGTGTTGAAGAAATATGAAAGACTGATGCAGTCCTTTTACTCTGCTGCACCTTACTGTATTGCATTTAAATCTTGTAAAAACGAAGCAAAACAAAAAAACCCAACAAACAAACCCCAAACAATTTTTTTTTTGCAGACTCAGTAAAACCGTTGCTAAGCACAACCAGGACTTAAAGGTACTGAAATGAAGATGCTAGGCAAAATGTTTTTTCCTGTGCAGAGCTTATGTCTGACATGCAGCAATTGAATATGTATAAAAATGAAACTGATGTAATTTATGTCTGCTGTATAGGTGTAATAAAAGAAAAAAGCATACAAACATAGTGGGAATGAGAAAGAAATTTCATTCATTTGTAATTACCTGTGCTGATGTCAGCAATACAGGTGAATATACTTCCTGGTTAAAAAGATGCTTCTAAAGTGAACAATGCCTTGCATTAACTAATAAAAGGACAATATGTGTGTCTATCAAACATCACACTGTTTTGCAGGCCATTGAAAGCCTCGACAGGTGGGTTTGTTGTGTCCGTTGCAGACAGGCAGTTTCAGACCGAAGTGGAGGAATTTCTCTGGGAGGCTTTTAGAAAAACTGGTTGATAAAACAATAGATAGCTTTTTATTAGCTTTTTTGTTTTTGTGATTGCAGTCATGTTAGTGTCACCTTTGAATCAATACAATTACACCTGTCACATTTGGCTTACTGCATGCTTTGTCTATAGACATGGAGAAAGCTGACTAAAGATTAAAGTAGTATATTCAGTAATGTATAGAGATTGTGTGTAACTCAGCAGAACAAGAAAACCCTTGCTTATTATACAGAAAGGCTGAAAACAAATTGCATTACTGTCAACAAAATTTACATAAGCCTTGATCTTTCTGTTAAAAAAAATTCAATGGCAGTATTTATTAGTCTCATTTCAAAAATTTCTTATTGAATTATGGTCATCTGATGAAAAATATTCGTTAGATGAGCCTAAGGATATTCTCATTCTTGTGTAAAGACTTGAAAACATGAAACTATCTAATTTTAAAGTAAACTGAATTGTTGGAAAAATTTTGATTGAAGTAACTGTACATTGTTTGCGGTAATCTTCCTTACAGCAGATTTTTATTTGTGAGCAATCAAATACATTGTTTCTCCAGTATTTTACTAAATAACTGTGTATGAGTGACAACATGGAAAATAAACAGCTTCTTATCCAGAGAGAAGATGTGATTCCAGCCAAGAATCAAGGCAGGGTCAGCCTTTTTTACCAGAATTGGAAGAATCTGGGACTTGCTAGGACATCGGGTTAATAGTTTTGTTTTTAGGCACCTAAGTAGCAACAGAAATTTGTGCTTAGCTCAGAAACGACTGCACTGTAAAGGTCTTTCCCAAATAATGTTGCTTCATCTGTTGAGAGCAGTGTAAGTAACTCAGGAATATGGATTTAGTGCCACCGATGACTTTGTGCTGGCTGTGAAGCTGGCGAAAGTGCTCAGCATTCAGCAAGACATACAGGGTAGCTTAATCAGATGTCAGAGTATGAGCTTCATCCTGGAAAATCTGATTTTTTTCAGTGAGTAATACTGCTTAAATATTCCAATGCTTTCTTTTTTTAGTATATAAAAATCTTGTTAGGTAAGAAACTGCCAGGTGTGATGTGTGAAGTTATTATTTTAGGTTTCAGGTTGTTTCGGGATCAGGCACTTGAAGGATTCTTACATTGCTGTTTTATCATTTTGCTAGTACCCCCAGCTGCAAGCAAAGTGAGAGACCCTGTGGGAGCAAGTGTCACAGTGTCTCGGTTTGGTATGCTGCGATGCTGATTTAGCAAGAACTTACTGTAATCTTTAAGGCAGGCAGAGAGAGTGAGACCTTCTGTGGCAGGGAAGTCAGCAGCTCCCTGCAAGCCCCAGGGGAAGTGGTAGGTCCTGGGAGTGCAGCGTGCCCTGTGTGACACACATTACGCTGGGCGAGAGAATGGTTTTGACACGGTAATTCTGTTCCTCCTATAAGTTTTTGGCTTCACAAGAGCAGTTTTTCTTTTGGACTCCCATCATGCAGTGTTGTTTGCTAGCAGGGTAGTAATGTCTGAAGGAGTCACACAAATCAGACAGTGCCAGAGAGTCTTTTCTTGCTGTATCCATTTTATTGGCAGGTCAGAAATATTGTGACACCTGGAGAGACCAGAGATAATTTTTCGGATCTCTACCTAACATGCTGGTTTTGAGAAAGGGCAAAATGAATTATGGTCATAGCATAGGGATTTGTGCATTTACGCTCTCAAGCTTGTGTTTACTGTCTCAAAACCGTGTTTACTTTGGACTAAGTGTGTCTTCTCCACTGAAAAGCCAACTGGGAATTTGCAGGTTGAAAGGGAGCAGACTGTGGTCGCAGGGCACTAGCAGGACCTCTTGCAAGCAGATTTTGTGGTTTCTGTGCGTTTTCCTGTAAGAAGTTGCAGGTTGCTGAGAGCAAAGGCCATTTAGTTGTACCTGTCAGCAAAAAGTTGTGATCCTGGGGCATCTAAAGTAATTGTCCTTTCTGTAGGTTAAGTACAATATGTTAGGCTAACTAGTGTGCAAAGCTCAGGAGGAGACCATGGTGAGGCATTTAAAACAGGCCTTTCAGATACACTCAGTTTTTAAAACCTGGTTTCTTCCATGTTCCATGTCAGTTTGGTACCTCTGTCATTTTAATACTTAAAAATTGCTTGAGGGGGGAGCAGGCAGGGAAGGCCAAGTGTGGCCATGAAATACTTTTAAAGTGGGAGCTGTTCACACAGTGCATTTCACCTTTCCTCCATTTTTCTTCATTCTTGCCACAGAGAAAGGGTCATGTTTAGCCTTTGGTGGATGCAGTGGGGTGGCTGCAACACACTCTACTTTATGACTGGAAGGTGCTGGAAAGCACCCATTCTTTCTGCTGCTCTGTGCTCATGTTGGCCCAATTTAGCAGCATCCAATACAGACGGGATGACAGCATGAGGCAAAGTGCCAGCTCCTGCTCCTGTGCTTTGTGATGGCCGACATCCCGTTGGCCTTTGATCAGAGATTGGGCCACCAACCTCCAGTGGTCCTTTCCAAACCAAACCAATCTGTGGATATATGAAATACCTACTTCTTTGTGTTGCCAATGTATTGAAATGTGAACTTCAACCAGCTTCAATAATGATGAGCATTTGCAAGCCTGGGAAAGAAATCCTCAGTCTCTTGACCTAAAAGCACTCATACTCAATCAGGGTAGATTTCAAGAGAAAATTAGCATAATGGGGGTTGGCAGGTGGTGTAGAGGATTGCTAGTTGAGATGGCAGCAGCCTCAGCAGGAGTTTAGCAGTAAGCATAATGCTTTGTCTGCCTGTGCCGGAGCTAACGTGGTGGCTACGCATCCTCATAGGTTTTGGTGAGTCTGCAGTGGGTACTAGTTGATCATACCACTTCTTCCTTTTGGCTTTGTTTCCTTGTTACTTTCTAATGATTATTTTCTTCTGCTGCACCCACTACTACTTCTTCACCAGTTTTAATTGCTGCCTGCCTCCTGTCAACTCTCCTTTGATACTCAGAGCCAAACAGCCCAGCCATTGCTTCCTGGTGCTTTTTTCCCATCTTCTGCCACAGCCAACAAATCTCTGTTCAAAAGAAAAGATGGTATTTGAACATGTTGTGTCTTCACTGGATTGTAACAGCTGGCAAAGAAACAAGTTTTACATCCTTCACCTGTGAATAACTAACACATTTCCATCCCTCCTAATGTGTCCAGTTGGTTGAAGTTAAGAGGAAAGAAGAAGAATCACACTTGCGTGTGTCTCTTTTAAGAGTTTGTGAACTGTTTTACCTCTAGTTTGTTGGTATTATTTCAACAGCACCAGTTCGACTTTGTCTTGGGAAGCAGTTCCTGGAGATGGTCTTCTGTCTGTATGGAGGTTTTCACAGTCACTAAAATATCTTTCAAACTGGACTAAGTTTTAATACCAAGAGATTGTTCCACTTCAAAAATTTTTTCCTTTGTTTAGGATAAAACTTTCCCCTAACAGGCTTTTTTGACTTCTGACTGGTACAGCTATGGGATGAACAAAGTGTTCTGCAGTGTGGTGGCATGGCTTTGTAATTTTCAGTTTCTACTGGAATTACATGTGTTTTGCTCAGCATTGTTTACAGAGACATTGCTTGTGAAGCAAGGGCAGCATTTTTGCCTTTATCTGCTGCTCTGGTTTTGGTTTCACTGTACTTGGGAACACTGCAAAGGAGTTTTGAGCATCTCATTATAAAAGGACATAGATAAATCTGAAAGGATAGAGGGAAGGGTGACAAAAATGATGTATGGCTTGTAGAAAAGGAGACTAAGGGTGGATATAACAGTCTATAAATATTTGAGAGGTAATAATATGGAGGAGGGGGAGGGATTATTTACAGTGCTTGAGACAGCATAACAAGGAGCAACGGCTTGAAACAAAAAAAAGACAAAATTAAATTAGACAGTAGACACTTTTTCTCCTAACTAGAAGCACAATTACCAATGGAGTGACCTGCATAAGGACAACGGGGTAAGTG